CATTCCTGCACAAGATAGATATAAAATCGTTCTGGGTCAGGAAAATAAGTTCATGTTTGTGTTTGGTTATAAAAGTATTTTTTAATTCAAAATATATTAAAATAATATATTTTTTAATTTTAATGTTTTTTCGGGAGTTGAAAAAAAGAGAAGGCACCTTAAGTTACAAGGGTTTCTCTCTTTCTCTGCTTTAGATAGGACATGATTTTTTTTGGAAAATAGTGTCGTGGGGGATGATTTAAATTTCTGGCGTGTCCCTTGGGTGTGTCAGGTCGATTAGTTTTTGTCGTGGTTAGATAAAAAGGTGAAATACAGAGGAATTTGGAAGTATCATCTGTATGGTCACGGATAGACATGACCAGTTTTTAGGCACAATCTCTATCCTTCGTATGCCTCAAAAAGTCAAAATATAATGAACACCTGTCACCGTTTATGTAAAAAACCTGATCTGTTATGACAATCGTATATACGTTAAAGAAAAGGTTAAAACGTCATCTGATCTAATGTAAATCCAAGTCAAATTCAGGGACCACTATTGTGATTTACCCTGTTCTGGTTTCTCCTTCTTTTCCCCTCCTGGCAGGCCATGAACGCTAACCAGAGTAGCATGCTAATACTGCAAGAGACCTGCATGGATGCAGCAGGCTCTCTTGTGGTGTACGCTCCCGTTGACACTCCGGCCATGCACGTGGTGATGAACGGTGGTGATTCGGCTTACGTGGCGCTTCTTCCGTCAGGGTTTGCTATCGTACCGGATGGGCCTGGTTCAAGTGACCACCAAACGACCAACGGCGGCCCGAATGCTAATAATGTCGGTGGCCAAGAGAGGGTAAGTGGGTCCCTTTTGACGGTGGCCTTCCAAATACTGGTGAATAGTCTCCCTACGGCGAAGCTCACAGTAGAATCTGTGGAGACAGTCAACAACCTTATTTCATGCACAGTCCAAAAGATCAAGGCTGCTCTCCAATGTGAAAGCTGATTATGCAATGCGTGATTGAGCAGTCCTATTAGTGAGTATTTGTTAGTTTACAAATTTTATAATGGCTGTGTTGGTCTGTTAATTTTATGGCGTCACAGAGAGAGATAGAGAGAGAGAGCGCTTGCTTGGTAAATGAGTGGCGAGACTGGAAAAACAAAAGTGAGCAGTCATCTTGTTGATGTTTGTGGGTGTTGAGTCAAGAACGAACCGCGCGTGGAGACTCCTTGCAAGGTGGTGAGGATTTATGGGCCAGTGACTGCTAGCCGGGTTGCAGCTGGTATGCATATTGCAAAGAGTGCTCTGAACACGAGGCAAGGGTGGTGGTTCGGGCATTGACTCAAATCGACCCCTGCCTCAATTATTACTAAAAAAAAGAGTTAAAACCAACAGTGTTTCAAGAAAGAAAAAAATGGGTCTTTCTGATATTTAAATTAATATCCAGATTATATATATATATATATATATATATATATATATATATAATCTGTTTTTGTTGAACTTGGAATGACTAGTTCAGCTTGTTGATGTTTGTTAACCCGTGGGGTTTTGTATTGTTTAAGATATTCTAAAGTTTACTAATAATAGCCCTTTCTTTGGTTAATGGACTTGTATTTTCTGTCAGTTCAAGGGTCTGAGTGATTGGGTTTTTTAAAAAATTATTTTCAGAGCTGTTTTAAAATAATAATATTTCTTTTACCCGCTACACATGATTTAGGTCTTTTTTTATTATTTTGGTATTGTAGTGGTGTTATATACTACAATAATTGTTTGGTTTAGTAGCATCCCATAGAAATGAAGTTTGCCTGATAGAGATTTGGACTCCCTGTTCGAAAAAAGGATATTTTATTCGTATATAAGCTCAAAAGTGACAATGATTATGCTTTTTTAAGGGGGAGTATTCAATAAAGTGTTTGCTGTCCACCCTTGTTAAGTAACTGTTAAGCGAGAAATTAAGAGCCCTAATTAGGTTGTAGTAACGCGGAGCTGGGATGGTTACTGGTTAATCTGTTTTTTTTTCAAAAAAAAGTAAAAGTATTTTGCTTTAAATTATTATTTTTAAATACTTTAAAAAATAAACTGAATCTCTGTGACAAACACCTTAAGCGAGGACCGGGAGAAACAGATGTCTGAGAAACTGCGAAGGCAATGAATGAGAGGGCAGAAGCCGATGGGAGAAGGTGTAGTTATTATTTAATGCTAAGGGTTTGTCTTTGGCCCTGGCTTGCGTGTACAGCCCAGTGAAAAGTTGACACGTATATATATTGGAGGTTTTAGGTGACCGTGGGGAGGATGAGAGAGGATGCGTGCATGAAAGCTATCTTGATTATTTTATTTTATAGTTTAATAATTGTGGTCAGTCTTATATGTAAATACACACACACAGATGGATTTGCTGCAAAAAGCTAAATATTTCTGATTGCGAGAGAAAGGAAAGAGGCTTTGGAGGTTAAAGTTACGATAATGACACTTGTGGATGATACACCTTTGGAATGAAAATAATACCCTCTTTAGCTCTACTCATTTTCCCTGAAAGAATAGAATTATGATAAAAATGAAATTTTTGTAGTCTACCTTGATTATTTTATTTTATAGTTTAATAATTTTTTTTGCTTTTAACTGTGTTCTTAAGAAAATAACAAAAAGAATTACATGGCACAAAAAAATAATATTGGATTACTTACAAATTTGCTATTATATTCAATTTAATAACTCAAAAATCCTTATTGTTTTATTAAAACAACAAAATCACCACTAAAAACCTCTCTTTTTTGCAAAAAAAAATGAAACCTAGCCACCGGCTTTGTTGCTTTTTTCCCTTTCAAGTGATGGTGGCTATTCATCTTCTCTCTGAGTACAGGATAAATTGATATTCTTTTTTGAGAGTGTTTATCCACAAGCTAAACTTATGGTTGTGATTCTCTTTTTCTCTCATTCTCGCACACACATGGGGCCTTCCATTAGCTGTATAATGAAATTTGTGGAAAACCTAGAGAATTTAAGTGGAGAGTAATGTAAAATGCTGCACCAACAGGTTGTTCATTATTTCTTTCTTCATCCCTTCTGCTCGTTTATTTTTCATAATACAGGTTGGAGATAGCACCCAGTGCAGAGAATGAAGGCTCTAAAGAATTAAACCCTAGGAAAAACCTTGAGGAGGAATATTAGAGGAGTCTGGCTAGTTTTGATGTTGTTTTGTGTTTTTAAATCTTGGGGGTTTTCTTATGTTAGATTTCTTTAGGTGTTTGTGGGTTTAAGAGGTGGAGATCGGTTTATTGCTGAGTGGTTCAGGTTAGTGTCGAGAGGGTTATAGTTTGAGGAGATCGCGTCGGTGGCTATGTGGTCGGGTTGGATTTGTGACTGGAACGAAGTGGTTGAGCGAGGGTGCTTTAGGGGGTTGCTAGGTCGTGCTGTGGTGAGAGAGGCAGATGTAGGGAGGCTCGGCCACAATAGAGCTTGGGTGTTATAGCGAATCGGGATCGTTGGAGTAAGAGACTGTTGAGGGGAACAATGGGTGATGTGTTGGCGGCAGCACTAAGCTTCTGGCAGTGGTTAGTGGGTATGAGAGGAAGGAACAACAACTAGTCTTCAATGGTTGGAAAAGGTGGTTTCCGATGGTGATTGGGCGAAGATTAGGCTATGATTAGAGTTCTGTGATAGAAGATGTAATCTAGTTGCGGTGGTTTGGCCAGAATCTAGCGAGAAAATGTAGAAGGGGCGACTGACGATTCTTTGTTGGTGTTTCAGCAAAATTTAGTTGTTTATGTTATTACACGACGGTGGATTTTTTTTTAAAATCTAAGTTTAAAAGTTAAACTGGACTTTAATGTAAATAGTAATTTTTAAAAGAATACATGTGGATTGATAGACTATAGAATACCTGTATAATTTTTTTTAAAAATTGCTTTTAAAAGAAAGATTTACTTAACTCATGTTCAATGGGTTTTGTTTTTTCATCCTATTATTTCAATTATAATCAAGTTCATTAAAAAATTAATATTATAAAAATTATAAAATATAAATCAAAAACCAGAAGTGGTTGTGCTTACATTAGGGCATACAATGCTCTATTATATTCAGGCAATGTGTGCGATGACTAACAGCAGCCAGAAAAGGCTTTCCTTGGTTTTTTAGAATTGTCTTAGCGGATCATTCCTCCCTAGACAATGTATGTAGCTTAAGGACATCCGGTCTAGTATCAGAGGTGTTTTTTTTTTTTTTTTCACACCTAACCTTTTAAATTTTTAAAGTGGCTTTTTATTTATTTATTTTTAAGTTTGATTTTTATTTTTTTAATTATTAAATATTTTAATTCTAATTATTTATAAAAATAATTTTTTTAATTTTATCGTTTTTTGATTTATTATTTGTTAAATTCGATTTTCATTCTTGTGATTGCTATTTATTTTATTTTAGATAATTTTTAAAATATATTTTTTTAATATTTTATTTTCCTTAGTTTTTTCCTATTAAATTTGATTTTTTTTTGTTATTATTTTACTTTGAAAAAATTTTAAAATTTATATTTTTTTTATTTTATCATTCTATATTAAATTAATTAAAAAATAAATTTCTTGATTGAATCAGAATTTAGGATTTTACGGTTACAAGTTTGGAAGATTATCTTAGATTATTGAGATTTGCTTGTTTTTGTTTTCACTTTATAAGCTCATGTTTTATCTTGGATTTTTTTTATATTTATTTTACTTAAATTTAGCTTGTTGTAAAGAATTTTTTTAAAAAATTAAAATAATTGATTAAATATAAATATGAAATGTTCACTTTATAATATTATTTTTTGATTTATTTCCCGACTTGTTGCTCTAATAAGGAGTTCAACCTTTTCCAGTGATATCATGAAACCATTTATAATATTATTAGAATTGTTTAGGTGAGTTCTTTCCCGGTGGTGTCCATGACAGAATAATATTAAGTTTTTAGAAGACTTTTTTTATTTTTTTATTGATCTTGATAATTTATTTTTTATAATTAATTATTTCTATTTTTTTATTAAATTTACTCATTATTATTATTTGTTTTTTATAATGTTATTAAATTAACCAAGCTTTTTGAATACAATTAAGTCATTAATTCAAGTTTCAATTTTTTTTAATTTCTTAAGAACACTAACTTCATTTGAGCATTTTTTTTTATATATTAAAAAAAATTGAACAAGTTTACAACACATCACTAATCACTAACCACCAATCTATCTAGGATGGTTACTATTCTTCAAAAAATTGTTTCGTATCCTTTAGTAGATTCCTTTCCATGCAATGTATGGCTTGGGCTTGAGTACCTATTTCACGAATTTTTATTTCTTTCTTAATGGGTAAATCGCACAAATTGATTGTGGATCAATTAAAAAATTTATGAAATTCAAGTTGTGGTGTCCATTATTAATATTATGGACAAAATCTTCTTGTGAATTTTAAAGCCTAAAATTAACCATTTGGTAGCTTTAGTGTCCATTTATCTACCAAAATATTACTGTTTTAAAACTATTTTTAGCTTTAAAAAACATTATTTTTTATATTTTTTTCAATTTAAACATAATTTGAAGTCTCAAACTTTATTCGATCCATTCAATGGCAAAATCA